TTCAATAAATTCAGATTCCATTTTTGAACACAATTGTCCTTTATTTTGTACATCAATAAGAAGGGGGGCTAGGGAAGGGTAAGTGGAAGGAGGTGAGGGAGGAATGGGGTACGAGCCCCCGATGGGGAGGACTGGGCTGGTTCTGCGGGCTTCTGGGGGTGGAAGCTCTCCTGCAGCCCCCCAATTGTCCCCTCTGCAAGTGCAGCCGGGCTGATGGCCGAGTGGTGTGATGTGCCCAGTGTGGGTACTCCGGGCAATCCAATCCAGGACTGCTTTGCAAGCGGTGATGCCCTGCTGGCACTGCTTCCGGCCATCCTTAAGCCCTGTTCAGGGTCCACTCAATGTGGACTTGCTAGTTCGAATTAGCAAAACGCTAATTCGAACTACTTTTTAGTTCTAGACGCGTTAGTTCGAATGAGCTTAGTTCGAATTAACTAAGTTAGTTCGAATTAACGTTGTAGTGTAGACGTACCCTATCTGACCTAATTCCTTGATGCCTGATTTCTTCTGTCAGGCCTGTCCCGGGCAATAGCTTGAGTAAGCAAATAGTCATTTCCTATGCCCTGAAGTGAAGCAAAGCAGAGTTCTGAAAAACCTGTAAGAAGAACACATTTTTGTTTCAAACATGCCTTCTCCAATCCTCACATATTCAAATGTATGTGCTATATGCTGTTAAATGAAGCGCCTTCACTGACCTCAACTATAGGGAGGTTCTGTATGGAAAAATGTACTGTATAGGAGTAGGCCAAAAGCCTTCTCTCCCATGATTTTAGCTCTGGAATTTGTGTTGGTTTCTATGTAAAGGGAAAAACGAGGCTAGTTTTTAAAAGAAGTGGGAGATAATTTATTGTTCTGTACAAATGTCAGATTACATTTGTTTATAAAATACAGTTAATTTAAAACAAAAGCATATTTCCTTCCTCTCATTTCAATATATTGAGACTTATCTACAAGCAGCTCTCAGTTAATTGTCTTTCTTATTATCAGCAGCAGAGAGCGCCACTGTCCATTTCCCCTCACAAGAATACACATGGACCATGTATCGTTTAGTATTCTCTCTTTTTTTTTTGATGATTTATGTACATGTCTCCTTCCCCTCCCCCCAGTGTCATTGGGTGGAGGAACTATATCAGTAGACTTTTATTTTGTGCAGCATCTTAATATTTCCTAAATTGAAATAACTCTCTCAAGTGTTTGGCATGAATTATTGTGAACAATGGTACTACAGGTTGGACCTCCCAAAACTGGGATTCCTTCATCCGGCAACATCTGTGGTCCATCTTGACCATGGGTGTTCCTGGGCCAGGGAATCCTGGCTGGGAGCCCCAGTGGCAAGAGGACTGGTGGCTCGGAGCCCAGCGGAGCTGAGGCTGGAACCAGTGCCGGTGCTCTGGTAGCACAGCAGGTGCTGTGGCAGCCCCGTAGCAGCGCTAGGGACATGGCAGTCATGGTAGCGGGGCTGAGGCTGGGACATTCCGGGCTACCGGGTATGCGGCAGAATGGCAACCCTGCAGGGGTGTGGCAAGGGGAGGGAAGGTGTTCTGGGAAGCCGGTAACAGGGGACTTCTCTGGTCTTGCAAATTCCCTCATTCAGGATCGGTCAAGTCCCAAGGGTGCCACACCAGAGAGGTCCAACCTGTAATTTTTAGTAAGACTATTGCCCTCTATACACCATTATGGATCCATATTACAATAAATTAGTTAATGTACATATGAGGCAACTGCTCTCTATGCCTCCAGCCTTCTGTGGGCTCCACTTTTACAGGATCTAAAACCTTTGTCTTGGCTATCATTCCTTTGGTTTTATTCATGTTTGTTTGCTGAGCGCTAACAGTGTGGCTAGGCACTCTGCACAAAAGTAATACACACGCTGTCATTGCCTATAAGATCTTTTGATCTAGAAGATAAATACTGGATTAGAGTTAGAGAATAAAACCAAAAGGCCTATGGTATATTTTTCAAAAGTTCCTAAGGTCAGCGTTATGCTATAAATCTTTGTTGGCATAGTTATGTCAGGGATAGGAAGAGGTGTGAGTTCTGACGAACATAGGTGGGCTAGCAAAAGCTATCACTGAAGTTTATACTGGCAAAATAGTGCCCTTTTTGCCAATATAAGCTGTGTGAATGGTAGGAATGCTTTGCTGTCTAATGTGTTGATATAGCTACACCAGCAAAGTTCTTCTAATGCATATGTGGCCTAAGTGATGTAGGCATACAAGTCCCATTGAGAGTCCTAAGTCACTTAGACATTTGAAAAGCCCCTCTCAGCCTGTTGTATTGACACTTTTAATATAAAATCCACAACCACCTATTTAGATTATAGGAGTAATGAAAACAGAGTAGTCCTGTGGCACCTTGGAGACTAACAAAAATATATAGGATCATGAGCTTTCATGAGTAAAAAGCTTCAGGTGATTTTTGTTTATGAATAAACAATGTTGTTGGGCAACCTTAAATTAAATAAATTGGGGCATTTTCCTGGTATAAGACAAGCTAAATATTGTTAACTGATGACCATGACAGTTTTATTTAGGTGAGTGTCATTTTATTAAATATTCAATTTTTAAACCTAAAATTGTTTTTTAACCTAAAATGAAGCTGTGTACATTCATCTGTACAAACAGGACTATTCATTTGCAAATTTGGGCACAATTTTCTAAAAATATTAATGTAGTATAATTTAAATAGAACCTGGCCATATATTTTCTTCTCTGCTGTCATTATAAACTGATTCAAGGGACTTGCTGTAATTAAAAAGAGTGCAGCTTATATGGAGTACAACATTGAATTCATTCCAAGGTCATCTGCTAGCTCTAACTGTAATTAATCTTGTGTATAATATCTTGTTTTCTCATTACAATCTGGAACAGAGATGTACAAATAAAATGGAAGGAAAGATTACATAATCTCCGGTTTTGATGCTGAGAAATTACATTACTTTTTCCATGTTTGCCTACAGTTTAAGATTTGTCAGTGGGAGTAGAGATGGAACAGCAAGAATATGGCAGTACCAGCAGCAAGAATGGAAGAGTTTAGTCCTGGATATGGCTACTAAAATGACAGGGTAAACGAAAAAAATGCTAATTTATATTATTCCATCATCTGTGTATAAGAACAAAACCTTTCCAGCAATAAATTTAAAAAAATATATATTTTTCTTATATTTTGAATTAATCTTAATGCATGTAGTTTGGTGTGTATTGAAAATGTTGTATCCTTGTCCATTTAATGACACAGTTCTTTTCAAGATTTTAATTAACCTTGAAATTAATCTACATTATTAACATACTTCTTCAACAGTTTCATCGCTCCCATGTTTGGAACATTATTCAGCATTGTAGTTTTTTTATGTAGAGTCTCTCTCTCTCAGAAAGAAGCTGTAATGGAACTTTATGTATGTGCAAAAAAAAGTGTTCTCCCTCTCTCCCTCCCTCTCTCCTGCCCTCCCTCCCGCCTGCCCGCCCGCCCGCCAGCGATGATTTTCTTTAAGGTGGCCGTCTGATCGTAATTTAGATTAATTTAACCAGTAGGTACTTGTGATGGAATTTACTATAGCACACAACAACAGAAGGAAAGAATAATGCCTATGGGTTGGGAAATGATTAATTTTGAAGGAAAGAGTTGAACAGTTAGGCCACTTTTCCACTTGCAGAAAGATTGATGTTGCAGTGCTCGATCTTCCAACGTTCGATTTAGTGGGTCTAATAAAGACCTACTAAATTGATACTGAGAGCAGCCCTGTCAGCACTGGTACTCCTACTTCTTGTGAGGAGTAGGGGAAGTCAACGGGAGTGTTTCGCCCATCAACCTCCTGCTGTGAAGATGGCGCTGAAGGTTGGCTTAAGGTATGTCAATTCCGGCTACATTTTTTACATAGCCGGAATTGCATTCCTGAAGCTGACCATTCCCCATAGTGTAGACCTGGCCTTATAGTTGAGAAGTTAGAACAGGGATAGAAACTACTTCAGCTTTTTAAAGAGAATTAAGATCCTTCAGGAAAAACAAGCCCTTTCCTAGTTTTGTAAATATGGTTATAAATTCTAAGTGTTTATAAATTGTATTGATGTGCATGCATCTCATAGCACAGTTTCAAAACAATTTTTTTTAAATACTACAGAGAGTAAAAAATCTTCCTAGCTCAATTGTAAGCTCTTTTGGGCAAGAAATGTCATTCACTATATGTTTATACTGCATCTAACACAATGGAGCTTTAGCTCATTGCAGTCTTTACCTGCTGCTGCAATGTAAATATTAAATAATAATAATAGCTGGTGTACTCATATAGAGAAGTAAAGGATCACAATTATTGTTAAATACAGTTAATATTTCCTGTATCCTGTTTCCACCTCAACAAAATACATTCTGGAGTTGTATGCACCATTTATTTATTTTCAGATTGAAACTTCACTATTTTGTTATACCCAATAGCACAGAGCAGTGGTTCTCAAACAGTGGGTTGGTACCAAGGTTCCTCCTAAGCTGTGCAGCCATGTAGCTGCCTAATAAGTCTCTGGAGGGGCTCCAGGCTGCTGCACATGGAGCTGCCACAGCCAGGGGAGAAGAGAAGTGGGCCTCTCCCCTGGCCACGTCAGTTCCTTGCTGCCCTGCTGGAGCCAGAGGAGTTGTCTTTCCCGCAGTGTTGGCTGCTCCGTGCCACAGCCGGGGGAGAGAGACGTTCCTCTGGCTCAGCAGGGAGCCATCTATTTCACACCCTCCCCCGCCACTCACCTCCCCCTCACACCAAATGGAAGTTGCCCCAGGTAAGCGCTTCTTCTTGCACCTTAACTCCTGCCACAAATCGTCTGTGTGCTGAGTGAATTTTATTTGCATTGGCATGAACATGATGTGTTGCACAATCTCTCCATACTGGTGCAAAAAAATTCGTTCTGAACATGGACATAAAAATTAGAGGGAACACTGGTTGGAACCCCAAAGTGGGTTGCAACCCCATTTTAATTGAGTCTCCAGAGCTGATGTTAGACTTGCTGAGGTCCAGAGCTAAAGCCCAAATCCCTTCCCTTGGGGCCAAAGTCAAAGTCATAGTGCTTCAGCCCTGGGTGGTGGGAGTCTGGTTATTGGCTTTGCCCTCCCCCACTTCACTACACAGGGCAATGGGGCTTGGGCTTTGTCCTTCCCCCACTCAGGGCAGCAGAGCTTGGAAGGGCTCAGGCTTCAGTCCCCTGTCCTGGAGTCACATAGTAATTGCTGTTGTCAGAAAGGGGTCACCATCCAATGAAATTTGAGAACCCCAATTGCTACTGAGAAGTTCTGCTGTATAGTTATTGAGGTATGATTTGTTCTTCTCAATTATGAATTTCCACAGTAACAACTTGTTATCTGGGGAGGACAAAGTAACTAAAATGAAGGTTACTATGGTGGCTTGGGATCGATATGATGCCACAGTCATCACTGCAGTCAACAACTTCCTTTTGAAAGTATGGAATTCGACCACAGGACAGCTTCTTCATAGTTTATCTGTGAGTAACATTCTAGTGTTTATTTCAAAATTTCTTACTTCTGTGACCAGAACAGGAGTAAGGTCTTGATTCAGCCATCCTTACACATACTAAGTAATAGCTTACTCTTGAAAGTAAGTCAGCTGTATCCTTCTCTTGAGTCCTGGTGTAAGGAATGTGTATTATGAGGAAAGAAGAAATGACCAAGTACTGCTGCTCTCCAGCGAATGCTGGCTGACATAGGAGCCCTTTAGGGCCCTACCCAGCTAGTAGTATTAAAGCTGCTACAAGCTCAAGGAGCTGCAAATGTCCTCTTTTGTTGGACCCCCACCTCACTTGTGCCCAGCTGTGAGTCTGAGCTATTAGGCAGTGGAAGATAGTAAATGGAGGTAAACATCCTCCTAACATTGACTGAAGAGTGACACAGTTCTAATCTGATATACTTACATATCACTGACCTAAAATAAATACTTAGTTGAGCATTAAGCTTTTACATGGAAACACTATTTTCCTTCTCTACTTCCCTTTCATCACAGGGCCATGATGATGAAGTTTTTGTTTTGGAAGCCCATCCATTTGACCAAAGGATCATGCTTTCTGCAGGTCATGACGGGAACATTTTTGTTTGGGACCTTGACAAAGGAACAAAAATTCGCAATTACTTTAACATGGTAAGTACTGTCAGGAAATATTTTCACATTTGTATGAAACTGGGCTTTGGGAAGCAAGGAAGCATTTTAAGAATTTTAATGATTTTAAGAATAATACCAAGACTTTTGGCAATCTATCATGTGTATATCTTTGAAAATTAGTAGACTGTTTCTGACCAACTTTTTCAGAATGGAGTTTAAGAGAGTTGGCATTAAGATTTAGGACAGGGGTTCCCAAACTTTTTGACACGGGGACCAGTAAATCCATTCACGAACCTTTGGAGGACTGGTAATGTTTATTTGCATATTTGCATATTTATTAATCAAATGATGAATATTCAAATACGTTGTTTCTGGTCCTCCCAAAACCCCCAGTGCCAACTTTAGCAAAGCTTTTGATATGGTCACCCACAATATTCTTTCCAGCAAGTTAAGGAATATGGATTGGATAAATGGACTGGAAGACAGATAGAAAGCTGGTTAGACCAGGGGTTCCCAAACTTTTTACTTTAGTTGGAACCCTTTTTTTTCAATACTGCTTTTTGCAGCCCAAAAATATAAACACATAAAAAACAAACTGACAAAATACCGGACATATGACAGGTCTGGTATTTTCTCATTAGGTAAGTTGTATTATTACTAGATGTATCAGTATGTAGTTTCGAACTGCCTGGCTGTTAAATGTGCTCAGGCTGCATGAGTGTGTCTACGAGCCAGACAGTTCGCAACTACTCGAGGGTGTGTGTGTGGGGGGAGAGGGGAAAAGTAGAATCCCTGTGCCCGACTAACTCGTGCTTTGTGCTTTGTGGGTGGGGGGGGAGAGGGGAACGGGGTTGGGTCAGTCCCACTCCCTGCAGGCCGATTCATTCTTCCCCCCTGCTCCCCTTGCTGTGCCTCTGGCCAGCCCCACTTCCCCCAACCCCCCCCCTGCCAGACACTGCCCCCCCCCT